AAAAAAAAATAAAGAAATTCAATTATAAAGGACAACGCAGAACGGACGACACGTCCGTGCTGAGGAAGCGCGGCGAGACGCGACCGCGTGCATCGAGTGCAAAAATTCCGGCACTACTAAGCAAGAAATTAAGACAGGTAAGTGGTTGAGCGGTTTTACCGGGAGACGAGAGAGGAGAGACAAAGAGAGATAGAGACGGGGAAATAAAGAGAGAGAGAGAGAGAGAAAGAAAGAAAGGTGGGAGAAAAAGGCCCCCCTCTAGGACAAGGCGCATTCGCTAGCACTAACGCGTGACATACGGGCGGTAATCAAAAAGGAAAAAAAAAAGATATTGGGAGACAGTCTGTCGCTCCAGGGATCCTCAACTTCTGGCATTAAGCATAGATACAATATATACTTGTACGTAATTCTAATCGTATCGTTGATCGCTGAATAATTGCTGGGATAATCAAATATCTCGGCTACGTAGAGTGCACTATATATATATATATATATAATATAATATATTCATACAGTAAGTTTCGTTTAACTTTATCGCAGCATCATAGCGTGTAACCATCTTTAACGTTAACACCTGAACGGTCAGAGAGCGACTGATCGACTACCGGCACACCTTTGTCTCCGTAAGAATCCGCTAGAGCGCGCCACGATCGAGTTACTCTATTTATTTAGTTGTGAGAAAAAAGTAGCAATGAAAATATCGATGTCTACGTTGATTCAGATGCCCCGTACGAATCGTACAGTAAGTCACCAGTTTACGACATCTGTTACCACTCTTATTGTGTATACATACCGGGTGGTAATGTTAAAGATATTTATAACCAACGATATTGCCTTTATTCCATTGTCCAGCGCTATTTTGTCCGGACTACCCGCCATTACGCAATAAAGATTACAAGACGTAGAAAACGCATTGTCATTGCTGTTACAAGCGGCAACTGTACTAATATTGTGTCATTACCTCGCTAGAAAACAGTCCCTCTCGTTGCGTTGTGGCGGCAGCGACAACAAGAGAAGAAAAAAAATAACCTTGTACCACCGTCACGATTTTCAATCCAATCTCCTCGATAGACTTTTCCGCTGGTTTAATCTGTACGAGAAAATCCTGGTGGCGGACAACTGGCAATTGTCAGTTGTATTTTATTTTGAATCCTACCCCCCCGATCCCGCCCCACGCATATCATACACGTCACTGATACCAGGATGGAAAAAGAAGATTCCAACAGCTTTACAGCCGATATTCACGGCTCTCCTAGTACATTTGCATAAGAAAGTAAAAGCTTTGTCGTGACAGCCTGACTGTTGTCAATGGAACAATAAGCCGCTACGGGTTCGGCCGTGGCATTCCGTTTGGATAAAGAAAGAAAAAAAGCTCGCATGACAGATATTCGATTGGTAATGTATGTCAGAGAAATAAAATAAAAACTTTAGTAGCCTTTATAATTGTAATTTTCGTATCTTCTAATCTGTCTGTCTCCTCTATACTTATTTTTCGATCTGTCCTATCCGGCTGTTCTCAATATTGTATCATTCATCGTATATCATGTGGAACGGCCTTTAACTGCTGGGAAGACGTTGGCGCATGCGCAGAAGGCCGTCTCGTTCGAAAACTGCGTGCTGCACGCATCCGGTCTGCAGCATCAAACTGGATGCAGTAATAAAGTTTACGACATTGATACAAATAGTGTGGGGC